GAAGATGAACTTTTTGTATACAACAAAGTAAACGTTTACAGAATGTTCTACGTCAAGTTTGGGCTCAGCTGGTGTGGCACAGATTTTTCATGATTTAATGGATATTGTACTCAATCTTGATGCCCATAAATGCTACGTTTATGTAATAAAACGCTTACCGTAGTTACTAAAAAAGATTGAGTCAGAACATCTGCCCTTATTATTTATAGTATATATAAATAAACGTATAGTCATGTGTGAGCCGGCGATTGTGCGATAAGACTGGAAGAGTTCAATTTTTTTTCAAACACCAGAAAACATACGTTGTAAATGGTGTGGTCAGTAAGGCGAAAGCAACAAATTTCCACATTTTGTGTGGAATTTCGCAAATGTATGTAAAATGTGTTCATTTTGGTATAAACCAACGGTTTTATCAACCATTTCGTGACATAACGTGGGAAAAATATCCATATCGAAACATCTGCTTCTGTGAAATATACTCCCATTCAATCATTATATGATTCAATGAAAAGTACATATACCGCATATTTTCTGAACATTCATTATTCGCACTTTTTTCAAGCATGATTGATCTACTTCGTTGAATTCCGATATGTGACGCTACATTTTGTGAAGATAGCACAAAAAAGTGGCATGAAATTGAGCGGTGTACTCTTTTACATGGAAAAATAAACTCGCACATCATAGAAAATTCAATGTTTCTTAGTCAAACAAAAATAAAATAACATGAAGTTCAACCGACGAAATTCGTCAACCACATTTTGAAGCAAACCATTTCCATATATGTCGTTGGGATTTATCGTAAAAGTTTCATCGACGAAACGAAAAATGGCAAAAAGTTTATTTAAAGCAATAAAAATGTTCTGTATATTTGACATTAAATGCGAGGGTGTGCTAAAAAAACGAAGAAAAAAAACGGAAATCGCAAACTGTAGAAGCATTGATGAAAAAATCACCTAACGTATTTACCGGATAACGAATTTACGTGCGTTCGATTTACCACTGTCAAAAAATGACGAAGGTGTGAACTACGTAATTTACTTGGGACGGACCATCTTTGCAATTCTGCCAACGAATGTTCATTCACATTTACGTAATAATTTACTTTAAGACCACAATAAATAAACATTGAAGTAGGTCGTTGTAAATGAGCACTTTCCAAAGCGCCTTGGCACGAGCACGGGCACTCGATCCTTATTCGATTTATCTAATACTATCGCTTCATTCATAAAGTTAAATCGATGCCAACGCATTCTCTTGCTCTCCTTATCTTTTTTTTTCAGCGTCTCGTATGTGTATTTGGCGTGTGTATTCATTCAGGCAAGCGATAATGTTGTCGACTCAGTGAGAAAATTAGTTAATGGAGCATACAAATACGCTAAATGCTTACGGAAAATCACATTGGCAGTCACAAGACATACCGCTGTGCGATTATCGTGTATTTTTGACATACACCATATTATTGGATGCATCCCACGCACGTTGCCACCGATTTCGCTTTCAATGTCAAGACTGTGTGTACGAGAATAATAAACAGCAATAAATTTAATCGTGTCTCGTTTACAGCTGCAGAACGACACTTCATAATTGTTATGCTGTAGTTATTGTAATCACGCTGTTCATTCAGACGGTTTTGTTTTGTGCTTCAGCGAAACTGATTCAACCGATTACTCAAATAAATCTCGATTGAATGACATGCCATAAAATAATGGGAAATGCAAAATATCAACTGTTCACTTCCTGCGACAATTAAATGATGCATGCAATAAATGGTGATGGGGAAAGTGGTACAATGGTATGTATCTCTCAATGGCACTGTCTCTGTATATCCCCTTTTGTCCTCATCTCTTTCATTTGCATGTGTGCGGATTTTATTCAATTTTTTGCAGTATGGATTTTGAAAAAGGTCAAATTACACACCCTAGTGAACAAATTGCCCCTCTACTATGAGCAAAAAATTTGACATGTAAATATTCTATTTGCTCTTTTTTCTCAGATCAAATTAACTTGAACTATTTGAATTGAGCCAAATAATTATGATATTTGACGTATCATATTTGACAGCGCTGCATAAACCGCAATTTAATTAACACCTTTTTTTCGACATCACCAATAAAAATTCAGTGAAGCGGTAAGAACTGCATTAAATCGCATGACAGCATTGCTGACAAATGTGTATAAATTAATTAAAATTTGAGTTTTTCGTGTGAAAATTTGCGCATGAAATATGCATGGTTGTTTATGGGGTTTGAGAGAAAGGGAGAAACCAATTTAAAACCGGAATTTGTTTTAACTTCAAGCATTATCTGCTTTCTCATCTTCTTTATAAAAATAGAAAAGTATCTTTTCAAATGCTTTGAGAAGAATTGCCGGAGAATTTTATGTTTGTGGGTGTCTGTGAATGTGTAGTTGTGGTGTTGCTTACTATTGATATCATTCTGCGGTGCTTTACATATGAATTCACTTAAAAAATTGCACGACAGTTTCCTCCCTTTGACTTTGTGTGTGCGTTTGTTGTCAAGTTAAATTAATACTTAAGGCTGATATCTTACATCAAGGTGTGCGTAAATTGTGTGGCGATAAAGTATTGTGGTATGCATAAAAGCAGATTTTCACTTAGTCGCATTATCTTTCCTTTTCTTTTTTTTTTTTTGTTTGAATTTGTCATTGTTGCGCATTTTGGGAGGCCATTTGGGGATATGGAAATGAAGAGCAAGAAATGGAGAGGCAAAGAGTATTTCTTTTATGTTCGTTGCTTTGTTCATCATCATCTTCTTCTTCTCTATTTCTCGTTGATATGCCATTGTCGTTTTGCTTCTGTTTTTTTCTTATTCCTTTCGTGATTTGAAAAGTGTGTTATCGTTGTGGGCGAAAAATGCGAAATCGTGTTCATTTCACTTTCATCTAAATTCAGAGCCCGGCTTTTAATTTAGTAAGGGTAATATACTGCATTTTCACGTTAAAGGCTTTGTCACGGATTACATTTTATTATTGGTGCAGTGAACTCATGAATTGAAAGCTTGATCGTTTTCTACATTTTTCAGGCGGAACGGAATGGAACGCATTGTGGTTCGCATTTCTCTCGTCAGCATTTTCATTTCTTTTCATTTAACAAAGGATTTTCCATGGCATTCCTAATTGTATAAGGCGGCAAATATGCGCGTATTTTTTCGCTTCTTCTTCACTTCGGTCGCCCAACCACCGTCATCGGTTGAAATCTTCATGGGATTCCAGCGTCACCGTAAAACCAAATCAACATTTGTTTTAATACAAAAAGAGCAACGAACAGTCATGCATATCATGCATATATATAGATATTTCCACGAAAACAAGTGCGTGACTTCGACACGTATTCTAGACCAGAGGAAATAGGCGAATCAAGTAAATAGCACAGAAATTATTTAAGTGCGATTAAAAAACATTGATGTATTCTTTTCGGTTTATGGTGTTTAAATTTTCGCCGACACAGAGCATGGTTTGAATCGTTCGGCCCATTATCAGCCCAAAATCTGTTGTTCTTTGTTGTGCTAAAATAGCTAAATTATCTTTACTTTTATGTCAATCCATCGTGAACATATCACTGAACACCAAAACAAAATCTCATCACATGCTGTCACTTTTTGATGTAAATGTGTGTGTGCGATGTGTTTATGTTACGAGATCGTGCGTTTATTTTCGGAAGCGCTCAAGCAAAATGTCTCTGTTGATGATAAAAATCGTTGGTTTGTTAAATTACACTGTTGTTTTTATCATTTCTGTGGAAAACAAACGCAAACGCTTTTATGTAACATGACTCTTTGTAGTGGGCGGTTTTTGTGCCTTTGTCGAATAAAACTTTGTCTTAAGATAATACCAATCTTTGATAAGGTCATACAATGCATAAATATCAAATGTGAAAAGTTCACATACATTTTGAACAATTTCAAACTTCACATTTAATATGGTTGTAGTTTCAAGTGCTTTTCCGGTTTTTGTTGAAGTAGAAAATTAATTTTTTTTTTCAACCAACCCAGTGGAAAAGCAATGAAAATTCAATAAACATGAATTTGTAAACTACACTTGAAAGGAAACAAGAACTAACGAATGAGAGACCGGTGGTAATTTTCAAGTACTTTTGTGATGAAAGCAGACAAAACATTTTCTACAAACAAAATTCCGACGAAAATTTGCATACATCTCAATGAATAAGCTGGATTCCAAAGACATATTCAAACATACTTACCACATATTTCATTTGAGAATTCTTTCTTACGTTTTGCTCTTTTTCAATTGAATTTGAAGAAGATGCTCTTTCATAAGCACTTGAAACATATATACTATATTTTTGCAATGAATAAAATAGAGGTTTTCATTTAATTATGTGCATGGTCGAAAGATCGAAAATTTAATGGAAACGGATGACATATGAAAACATCAAAAATAAAATGAAATGTTTCGTTGAAAATTAAACTACTTTTCAAGTTTTGCCAAGATGATCCAAATCATTGAAAAGGAAGAATGTTGTTGTTGTTGTTATCTCGATAGAAATATTTGCTGGTACGCATATGACCATTTGCATATATAAATAAAATATTGGCGCATATATGCACGAATTGGATGTTGCAAAAGGTTTTTGAATTATTTGAATAGGTGCGACTGCATTTCATTAGAAGCAAATACACACACATCACACACATATATTATTACTGAACATATTGCGTATTATTAAAATGTATAATCATTTGAATAAATAAAGAGACAGTCCGTTGCGATGGAGAGAGATCTTATTTCATTTATGTACATAACGAGCAGATAGCGTTCAAATATGTCTGTATGCAAATTATCCTATGCAAACGCATTCATTGAAAGGGTAATAATATTATAAATGGCGTCAAGCGAATGCAGCAGTAAAATCGAAATGAAATGTGTTGAAAATAGATTCTGACAGATTTTCCAAACAGATCCAAACCGAACGCCAAACACTTATGCATTTTATTTATCTATTTTATTCTGTACTCTAGGATTTTCGATGCGAACAACCGACGCCAAGAATCATTATCCAAACATCAGACAAATCAGCTATAGCAGCGGCATCAGCAGTAGCAGTAACACACCGATAAAACTTGGTTGAACGAACGCGTGAATTCGAATACGAAATCATTTCACAAGTGCATTGAATGAATGTGCAATGACTATTGACAATTCCATAAAATAACCTGCCAACGAACGCGCACCATAAATTGCAAAAGTTGACAGACGTAAATCCAACAAAAAGAAAATCTCGTCACTCGTCATCACCAATCAATTAATTGTGAAAATGTAAACAGCGATGAACAAATGAATGAGAGAACAGACGAAAAAAAGTGATGGTATTAAATCCGCAATTTCCGAATGTTGCCACGTACAAACGTCATATAAATTAAACGGGCTGAGTGAAATCGTAGCCATTAAGATGTCGTACATTTAGAAGACAACTACACGCAATACCAAAAACACGAACTTTGCAACTCTGACTTTAATGCTTTAATGCCTGTCTCTCTCCATCTAACATATATATATATAAAGAAGAGATTCTTCAACAAAACGGTCGTACAAAATTTTCTGGTTCATTACATGCACACAAACACATAAACCAGTTGTTGATTAATTGTATTTAGACAGGAGGACATTTCTTTGCCAGCCAAACCAGAGAGAAAGTAGGAGAGAGAAAGAAAAGATTTGTCGAAAATTGCAAACGCACGCACGACTTGAGAATCGAATTAAGGAGACCACCTACGCAATAGTCATAATTCAAAATTTGTTGATTTTTGTTTGTGTTTTGTCTGGCTACATTCGTACAAATAAGAAGGGTTTGAACCATTTCTGACCACCTTTTTTTTATTTGTTAAATTGAAGAAAAAGACGACGGTGTTCAGTCGATAAAAAAATGACGTCATTCGACGACGATGATTATAGTTTTGAAAATGTAAGTTCAGAAGCATCGATTCCAATGACCTGGACGGTGACAACAAATGATAGTATAAGTACTGTAGTGACCCCGGCATCAGTCATGACAACCGTGATTTCCACAACAATTGCCACAACAACATCCACATCATTATCATCATGGCTTACAACAAGCCGCATACAAATCATTCTTTACATAACGATACTGTTGTTAGCCATAATTGGCAATGCATTGGTGATACTGACGTTGATTCAAAATCGACGTATGCGCACCATTACAAATGTATTTTTACTGAATTTGGCCATTTCCGATATACTTTTGGGTGTTCTATGTATGCCGATAACATTAATCGGTACGCTTCTACGCGATTTTGTATTCGGTGAAGTGATGTGCAAACTGTTACCATATTTACAAGGTAAAACACTTTTTCTTTCCGATTATAGTGTAATTTAAATGTGCTTTCGTCACAAACGAAAACCAAAGAAACACATCTCTATTTCTCAATTCGCCTTATGCCATTATTATTCGTATTTTTGTGAAAAGAAAAGTCAAATATGTGATATATGAATTTCGAATGAGAAAAATAAAACATTTCCAATTTCTCATTCGAATTCAGTTGTTATTCACACTGTCATCAAAAACAATAATAATAATAATGCATTTTTGATTTGGTATTTATTCATGCTCGTAGATTACTTATTATGCTTGCTTGAGTATGCTACAAGTTCTGAATTTCAGAATCATTCACCACTCCTCCTACTTATGTTTAATAAATCATCAATATTCTCTTTTCGATACATAAATTATTTCAGCATCATCTGTGGCTGTATCCGCCTGGACCCTGGTCGCTATTGCGCTTGAAAGGTATTACTGATAGTTTGATAGTTGATTTATTCCATAAATTAGCCTATTTCCTGGCAATTGGCAACTGTCAATGCTGCTTTACTTTGTCATAATTTCACTATAATGAATACTTGTGGTCCTTATTATGTTAGGTACTTTGCAATTTGTGAGCCATTACGCAGTCGACAGTGGCAAACACTAAAACATGCCTATAAATTGATCGCATTAATTTGGTGTGGTAGTTTCCTGTTCATGTTGCCGATTGCCGTTTTCAGTCAACTCATTCCAACCACCCATGGTAAGCCCTACATAATAATCCTTATGCGATTCAATTGAATACTAAACAGACACAGGATAAATATTATCTTCTTTTTTTTTCGTTCATGGCATAAAAAAAAGTTCATCGAAAATTGATACACATACCGCATCACTGTTTTTCTATGTTTATTTGCTTCCATTGTGTGTCTAGTTAATATAAATGTAGAACGCGTGAATGACATTTTCGTACAAAAAAATAAATCGAACAAATCGAATGTCACATATGAGAAAGCATGAGATAAAAAAAGCGTTCCATCGCAACAACAGCTACAAAATTGCTTGTGTCGTTTTTCATTATATCAGTTGGCAACTAAAACAATGTGATCGAATAAAAAAAATTCGTTTTTGTTACCTATGGCATATAGAATCTACGCCTGTTCATATCAAATTCTATGAAATTTGAACAAAAATCATAGTATATCCAAGCGAATCTGTGTCTATACATTTTAATGGAACATTCGCTATTTTTGAAACTGCGTGCAATGTGATTCTTCAAGTTTAAACAGTTTTCAATTTTGATGACACATTATGATACATAAATAGTCAGAATTGATCGGCATTAATGTCAAAAGCACAGAAAGTGGATAATATTTTTTGGAATGGGAGCAACAGAGTTTCGGAGCCTGCGAGGTGAAGAGCAAGCAAATCGACGAGAAACAAAGAGTAAAAATGATAAACATCCCAACGATTTATCGGCCCATAGATAACGTCGACAATATAATAATCTAGAGCTGAAATGCTGCAAGTCATGAACGTAGACAATGAACGCATGCACGAAATGAGATCGTCATACACTCACTCTCATGCAAAAGTGATTTTCGATAAATCTCATGATATAACGGTATGTTGCAAATGCACGCTGACAGCACTGGATTTTCGGGCGGCCATTTTTTGTGTATGTTTCAGATCGGTGTATGAGTTGGGTGCGTGTTTCTCTCTATCTTTCTCTGGGAGCTTCACGCTTTTGCGACTCATTTTAATCAATTAACATGTCGTAAAAGCCACAAATTTGTGTGCATGTTGAAAAGTTTTTGAATCACCATTAAAACAAATGAAACTTTTCGCTGCCTGTCGACAGGCTTTTTAACGTGTGTTTTTCTCATTCAACATATAGAAAGATAGATATAGAAATGTTTTGCATTGAAAACGACATATTCTCACGAAAATGCATTTTGATGATGGAATACATGACATACGGTGCGTTGTTGTTCCAGATGAGTTCATGAGCCGTCCGTTAAATATATCGTAACATTGCATTATTTGTTTGGAATTTAATGTTTACGCAGGATTGATTACAAACAAGCATACAACAAAAACGAAGGTGTTTTTCGTGCGCCACTTTCAATATCCACATGGATCTGTTATCTTCGTTTGGATTAACAATAGACGATAAATAAAATAGATAATGGCACTTCACTTTTAACTAAATTTATGTTATGCCTTCTGCTGGTGAAAGAGTCAAAATGAATGATTGATATATTGATGTTAGACACATTTGTTATATGCGTCGAGACACTAAACACTCTTAACAACAAACACACTCACTTTGCCAAGACTGATGCGATTTAATCCCATTGGATTTACGAAATAAAAGAACCCAAAGTGTCATCCATAAAATTCATATTCTATTACGTCTTAATCATAATGAATTAATGCATTTTCAACCGTTCAAAAGATCATTTTTAATCGAAATCGATGCAGAAAGGGGAAAATTCAAAACTTTGATGCATATATGATATTCGAAACTGATGTTTTATGTTAATTATCATTAAATTAATATCAACAAACGCAACAATTCTTACACTCTTCAGCCACTTCTTCTGGAATACGTTACATTTTGTGTGCTCGTCGTCGTCGTCGAACGGTATAATACACCGAACAAATGTCAGTGGCATTGAACCGACATTATGGGGCGTCTTTTAGTCACAACAAAACGACGAACAGAATTTAATAGCTGAGTTTTAACGTTTGAATTGAGAAAGTTTCAAAGCAAATTTAATCTTCAATGCGCTTAATTACAACTGAAATAGACTAATGCTTGTTTTTTATCAGAACGGTGCCATTGCTGTTGTTGCAACGCAATGTTATATGACACATACTATGTGGCGCTCATATGCGCGCATATTACTATCGTCTACGATAATAATTACACATTGAAATCGATTAAACGCCACATAGATTTATAATGTCGCCGGAATTCCAGTGAATGTGTTCATGTCGCAAGAGGCGCTTTCATTCGACGTTTTTTTCTCAACGTACAAGGCGATACCGTCTCTATTCAAAACCCAAAATAACGTTTGCTGTGTATGGGTATTTAATGAGTAACCATTTATGAACTTTTTTTAGTTAAATTAACTGCATTCGATGACTTTTTTGTATGATGGCATTTTTACCATTTATCATTCTTGATGATGGGGTTGTGTGTGTGTGTATAATAATTTCTTGTAACGTTTGATATTTTCAAAGGTCATCATAAATGTCGAGAACAATGGCCGGATAGTGCGATGAATTATGAACGCGCATTTAATCTATTTTTGGATGTGATTTTATTAATATTTCCACTGATAATGCTATCAACATCATATTTTTGCATCACAAAAACACTTTGGCAAGGCATGACAATGGAACGAACGACCAAACGATACACAAAATCAGGAAACAACAATTATGCATGTAAGTAAACATAATATAATCATATGAAAAGATAGAACAAAAGGACTGAATTCCATCAAAGGGAAGCGGGTGAATGAAACGAAGCATTTTTGCACGCAATCAATTAATAAAGTTTGTTTTTTTGTTTGAAAGATTTTGATAAATTCTTAATGCGATTTTATCGCAACCTAGACACATTCACATGTATATTGAATGAGTTGAACTTTCACTTTCAGCATATTGATATGATGATAATAAGAAGAGATTAGCATTGAAGTGGAACAAAGTGAAAAGTTGACGCAAATAAGTGCGTGAAAGCATTTCAATGTATGAAAAGTTCAATTATTATCTTTCAGTTGGGTAAAATTAACAGAATAAAAAAAAGTTTTTTATATATATGGATAATATGCAAAGTTTTGCGCGAACGCAACGCTCGAGGCGTTTGTAATTATTTTATAAAAAACGGTGAACTGTGTTTAAGATTTATTTGTTTAAAAAATATGAGGGTTGACAACAATTTGTTTCGTCTAAAATTCTTTCATCTTGCAGCGTTACAGCACGTTCACAATGAATACTTTGATGTTTGCATTTGTAGTTCGACTTGTTGCTGGAAAATGAATTCTGTTCGGTTGTTATGTGATGAGTCAGGCGTTGTGAATGCGCTGCGGTTGCTGTTTTACTCGTGCCCGCAAAACTTTGCCAATAAGATTTTTCATTCTGGTGAACAACTCTAATTGAAATATTTGGTTGGATGTTTTTTCTTGTTCGGACATTCACGGTGTTTGTTGTTTTTGTTGATTTCGTACTGGTTTTAGTGCATTGATTGCATGCATCTTCGAGCTGATTTTGAGTTCGTCGTGCTGACCGCATTTTCACATCATTTCGTGGATCTGTTGTGAACTTGTGAGATTGACGTGTGGCCAATGGTTTCATTTTGGATGTTGTGATGACTCGAGTTTTGGGGTTAGTCGTTTTTGAAATATATTCAGTTTCTGTTGACACAACTGCTCCCTTTGTGCCCGTCGTATTTCTGTTATTTGTTTGTTTAACGGAATGACATTTTCCGTTTTTCTGTTTTAAACTTGATGTCACGGTATTTTGCATTTTTTCTACAACTGATTTGGTTTTGGGCGACGCTTCACTTTTACTTCGAACGGCTCTAATTAACTTCGATTTTTCACCAACGGATGCGGTAATAGTGTGTTTTATTGAAGTATCAGTTGCGACATTTTTCGTTTTACGGGCTACAGAATGGGATTTCCAATGAATTTGTTTAGATTGCACAATGGCTGTTTTTGCTTTTGTATCAATTTCACCACGTTTACTTACTGAAACATCACGTGTACCACAACTATTTATTGGAAATTTATGTTGGGTGGAAACGCATTCAGTATTTTGCATTGGTTGTATCGTTTTCGTCACGACAACCGATTTTTTCGGTAAACCATCTCTGTCATTGAACGGTTGCGTTGTTTGTTTTACATTGGAAATCGGTTCAGTTCCAAGGTGGCAACGGCATTTTATCACCTCTTCACCTTCATTATCAGTTTCTGTCGCATTTTCATCGCGTGACTTAATCGGTGTGTCAATTGATGCAACTCTTCTCATTGTTAATTTTGAATCGAGTTGATTTTGTGTATGTGTCGTTGCGTTGGCATTTGGTGAATTAATCAACATCAAGTTTCCTTTTGTTTGGGTATTATTTTCTTGATTTTTGTTTTCAAACAAAGTGACTTGCTTTCGTAATTCATTGGCCTCCTGTGTCAGTCGTTTGTTTGTCGAATTCAATTCATATTGTTCATTACGTATTAAATCCAGCATTTTCTCAAAATGAATGTTTTTATCGATGTTTTTCTGTAATGTTCGATCGAGCGACCGAATCTCAGTATCGTACGACATGACGATTTTTTTCGCTTGACTTTTCTGCAAGTTCAGTTTATCTTTTTCCCATTGAGTTTGAGCGAGTAAATTCGAAACGAACGTACACTGTTTACATTCAATGTGATTCAAGTCATTTTCAAAGTTTTCATCAATGTCAGCCATTTCATGGGCTCTTATTTTTTCGTTAATAAACACTTTTGCTTCGTTCAACAGTTGATTTTTCTGCTCGATTTCACTGCAAAGGCATTCAATTGTTTGCATTAGATTGTTGGTTTTACTTTGCCATTTATCATTCTCTTGTTTCAAACGCAAAAATCCCGTTTGATATTGGTCGTTGTGTTGTTGGTTTTTTTCATTGTCATTTAGTGAATTGTCGGGCTTAGGAATGTTGACATTGAAACGACCATTGTCACAGATTGCCTGACTATTGAAATTGGTGTCTGTTTGGGCTGAAGCTTCTTTTGTTGCAAACAATGTCAATGGACTAAGAATTCCTGATGCGACGACATTTGGCCCAAGACAATTTCTCTCGTACAATATTTGCATGTCAATTTTTAATTCACCCAACAAAAATTCCAAGTGTTTGATTTGCTTCTGCCTTTCCTCCGCATCATCGACAACGGTTTTAAATAAAACATTGCGACACACTTTACTTTTGTTGTCTAAGCCGGAAGCACATGTAACTGCCAAATCTAAGTACGTTAACTTATCGACCATTTTTCATGGCCGTCTAGTTAAACTCAATGAAATTTGAATGTCGACTATTTTTCTGAACCTCTTGGTGAAATGCTTGAAAATGAATCGCCGTTTGAAGTGTGATAATAAGCAAATCGGTGTGATAATACCAACATTCTTTGAATAACAACCATTTTTTTCTAATGACATTACAAATTCCAGAGCTACTGTGATGAACTAAAATTTCAAACATATTTTCACTTTATTAGACACTTTTTGTTTATTGTTTTTCTAATCTTTTATTTGGTTTTATTTTTCATTTTCAGCGAGAAATTCAATCAAAATCTATTTGAATACGAATGGCCATTCACGTGGCAAATGCTCGTTATCCTATACGAGCAAACGGAAAACAACGTTCAGCAGTAACAGTGACAACGTAATTTGCTATCAAATTCAGCCGGACAGTGACAGCTACTCCACAATAACTGATCCACATGTAGTGAGCTCGAAGAAACTGAGCGTCGGTCTTCGACGGTAAGTTCTTTTTTCGTCTATTAAATGAAAAGAAAAATCAAAATCCTCTTTGCCCCACGATGCTTATGGTTAGAAGATTATTAAAAACTTTTCACTTTTATTACCAACAATCGCTTTATTAACTCGAAACTTTTCCAATCTGCTTCACTTAGTAGGCAATAAGCATTTTATGTCTATGAACGAAAAATGAGCACTATGTGGTTTCGAGAAATTTATTCAAATATTTTGACAGCATGCCACAATCAGTACACTTGAATGTGATGGTTTTTTTGCGGAAATTGTTTTCCTCAGGAAATCATTTGATGGGACCGGATGTGGCATTTTATGACAGAATTCATTTCGAACAATAATACTTCGGAAGTCTTTTTTCACTTTACTTTTACACCGAAAACTGTCACATCTTTTTTTTAATATTTCTCAAGATAGAGTTGCCATGCTAATGTTTATTTTTTCCAACTTCGACGATTCAATTTTATCGTGAATTAATCGATTTTTTTTTTTCGAATACTTTGCGATTGGAAAATTACAGAAATGATTATTTATTTACATTTTGATTGATACGTTTGGTTTGATGAAAAATGGAAAGTTTTGCAACTTTCTTTTTCCAAATCGATTCAATGGCGAGAGGAAGAAAAAAAAAACAGCGTCACATCAATTAGTTGGGATGGGTTAAATATACAATAAAACGCACAGTCATTATGTTGCCAAATGAAAGTATTTATGAGAAATGCACTGCTATCTATTCAACCCAAATCAATTAGAAAAATACACCAATCCTAGTATGCTCCTTTTCTCGTTTGCCGTTTTCACGTGTCAAATGTGTATATATTTGTATTTTTTCGCGGCCTTAGAACGCGTTAGAAACTTGATAAATTAAAAAAAAAGATAAAAAATGAGCTAAAAACAATTTGCGAACTTGAAAATGTTCATCAATTAATTATTCATTGTTGAACGGTTCGATATGTTCGCCCTTTTGCCAATAATCAAACCTTTTTTAATGTTCCCATTTATCCTCTCTTATCTCCGTCACTCTTCCTCTCTCTCTCTCTGTTTCTCTATTCTAATCCGTCAGAACGAACACTGAGAAAAGTTTGCAGAATAAAAAGCGGGTCATCAAAATGCTGTTCGTTGTGGTGTTGGAGTTCTTTATTTCATGGACACCGTTGTATATCATCAATACAATTGCCATGTTCGATCCGAATGCAGTGTATCAAAAGCTTGGCTATACAACTATTTCATACTTTCAACTCTTGGCATACACTTCAAGCTGCTGCAATCCGATCACGTAAGAATTTTCCTTTTTTTCTCATTAGCTAGTGAAAAAAAAAACAACGTTAAATTTTATGTCCTATGTAGATATTGCTTCATGAATCGTGGTTTTCGCAAGGCTTGCTTGAATTTATTTCGGTGTTGCAAACGATTTCACGAGACAAGACGCATCAGCATCGGCGGCGGTCCAATCGGTGTGACTCAAAGCAGTGAAGTCACATAGTTAAACCGGATACGAACACTCAAGGGAACGGCCAATTATTCAACAGTATCGGTGACACAAGCCTAATTTCATCAAACGAATGAACACAAAGCCAACCAAATGTGAAGGTGCTTTCATACCATTTTATGCACAGGTGCGTGCTACGACACACTCAATCGATGAATTTTATCATACATGAATAACAAATCATTTTCCATGTTGTTAATCTCTAGCTATAATCATGAATATTTACCAAAATCACACAATTCAATGTAAAAATAACCATCTTTTTTAAGTGTAACATATCAATGTGATTGAACAAATATGCGAAAAGTGGTTGTATTTATCCAAACATGGATTCGAAAAAAAGGTTTGAGTTCTTTTTATATCTCAACAAATAACCAAAAACAAATAACATTTTTTCTGGAACGTTATTCGGATAATTGGTTTGTTCGTGTTGTATTTTTTTTTTTCATTTGTTTAACGTGATTGATTTTCAACGAATGTGTTTGCTATTGAGCGAACGAATCGGGTATCCACCGATATCTTTGATGTGATGTACGAAAAACGAATTTTAAAGTGATAGGTTTTTAACGGATGTGGATTATTTATTAATGAGTGTTCGTTGAATTTAATTAGAAAATCAATTTGGGAATGAGTTTTGAAAGGTAATTGATGTGTTAACGAAATTGCGAAGCAGATATTGTATTTTTTATAGAATATTCTAGTTTTAAATGTATAGCTACTGCTCAAAATATTGATATACACATAAAAATGCCCGAAAATAAATGGGAGACTCAACAACACTAACATTATGATATGAACATAGAACTCAGTAAAAAATGTTGTCCAGTCTCACATTCATTCTCTAAATGTCATAAATAAATGTTTAACCCTTAAATCATTGCAAAAAAAAAAACCAACAAAATTCCATTATCTCTGGTTGTAATACAATGTTAGTTGCATATAAATACAGTAAATACCATTCTATCCAATTCTATTTTTATGAATCTATTACAACAAACCAAATTATTTGTTAAGTACTGCAGAGCAGTAGATTTGCCAAATATTAGATTAAATAAGTGGATATTTTGTGAGTAATCAATATGATAAATATTTTTTCTTAATAAAAAAAAATCTTATTTTAAAACAAAAAAAAACCCTCGTCTACTTCAGAGTTACTTGAATTATGCAATATCCATTAACACAGTTGGTCTGACCACATAGTAAATCACAAGGTAGGTATGTTCTTTGTATGCAAATCATTCGACATTCTTGACATAATCTGAAGCATCTGAATTCAAAAAAAATATATTCAAAAAGTCATTTTGATCTAAAACTACCAAGGCGCGTCTTCCGTCAAACAAAAAAGAATGGACTTTCCAATTCAAAATGGCACCGGTGCCAGGCGGTGAGTTAACGAGTCAAAGGCGATCGAACAAAAATTGAAAATGGGGCACTCAAAACGAGACAACGATATTCTCTTGAAGAGAGAACAAAAACCACCGATGACAGTTTGCGTCTTTTTTTGTGGTGGAACGAAAGATATGCCAACGATAAAACATTTTCCAATTTAAATGGAAAAACATGCTGAAATCTTTTTTGTTGCTTTCTTTTTATTTGAATAACCAGAGAAAAAAGGTATTTTAAGAGCAATTTCGGAGACCCATTCAAATTGGTTTCTCGTTCTTTTTTTCTGTTACCATCGTGTTCGAACGCCAACATCAATCGATTGCGCGTGTATTCGTTTTGCACTAGAAACACAAGATGAATTTGCATACTTTTTTCTATGTGTTTTCACAGTTGGCTCAACCACCGAGGATACGAAATTCCAAAAAATCTACCGAAAAGAGAATACCAATAAATTGAAAGTATTCAAATTAGTTCGGAAACAACGTCAACGTTTATAGGTGTAAATAGAACGAATAGTGCACCTTTTTCTTCCTCTGTCCCGCTGTCTGTCTCAAGATAAATGACTATTTCATGAATGAAGGTCAGCCGAAAAAGGAAATAAAAGATTTGTTTGCTCTCATTAAATATTCAATGTTAAAACCCAATTACCATACAGATACATGAAAACTTAATTTCAAATCATCAATTTCGTTTGCCATTCATTTTATGACAGGGAATTTCATCAAAGCTCTACAAAACCAATGTTGTTTTTTGTTAATTGAGTTCAAAAATAATTTAAACTTTACCACGTGCCAATCGAAATTCATTTGAAAAATACGCACCCCACCATAAGTACCGCACTTGGTCTTTTGAATAGTTTAGTCTTTGAAGCAAAATCCTCACCAATAGAATTTATATATTTTCAACTGAAGTGGTGATTAAAAGGCATTCATCAAACTGCGAAATGTTTCAAGTAAACACCCGCCAACTAAATGGCTGTGGGCATTATCATTTACCAATGTCATGCACTCGATAATGAATTGGTGCTATTTATTTTCTGCACCGAAGAATCATGAGATTCTTCGAACATTCTTTCATTTGGAAAATTGATACGAATAGCTGAATTGATAAGCCCTAAAGCTTCGGTTTAACAGATAAACAGTGTGGACAATGTTACAAAAACGTTCATTCAAAATGTCGATGAATGGATCTATTTCTCTTGACCATCTTCCAAGAATGATTTGTGCCATGCACGAGACAGAAATGTATGGACACGTTTATAAATGTGTTTTCTTTTTCAACGAAATCGGCTTTTTACAATCCAGCACGTGCCACATTCATCATATTGCTATTGATATTATCCAAATGGCATACACCATTTTTTTGTTTCTTTGTTGAATACACTCAAAAAGTCATTGAGTGTTTTTCATCGTGAATATAAATGACTTTTTCACCGAATTATGTTTGGGTGACATTGAATTTTTGATATTATGTTTCCAATCCAATAGGAAATATTCGGATTAAGCTCCGTAGAAAAGCCAAAAAACAATATATTGTATTATATTCTCTGCCATCGGCAATTCTCTGGGGCTGATATTTATTTTCCTATTATGTTCCTTGCTGTACTTTTGAATGGTGTTCAATGAGTTTTGATAGATACACCATATTTTCGTTATATCGCCGATTGATATGGGATCTTTATAATTGGTCTATATAATCCAAAATTAAATTAATTCAAAATTGAATTTATTATTACAGTGTTGTAGATTCATAAATAACGATGCGTATGGAAAGTTATTTTATAACATCTAATAACGCATGAGTAAATAAAAATCGGAATAAAATCCAAGCCGGAAATAATTTATACCATTTTGCATCCTTTTCACATTATCAAATGTGGATTCGATTCAAAGAAATTGAATTCCATAATCAGCATAATTCAGTTTTTGAACAAAAGTCCAAAACCAAAATTTCATTTAGTAAATTATTAACTAGACAAAAGTAATTTGTTAATGGTCTACTAAATATACGCTACAGTGAAACTAATACATTAACTGAATTATTTTTACATTGTAAGCACAATGAATATGAATCAATGGTGTTGATTTTTATTTTTAAAAAAATCTCGGAAAAAAATGTTGGTAAATTCCCAGTAATACGGAGTCGAATCCATTCAAATGTTGCATCAGTGTCCATTGGGAAGTGAAGCAACCGAAGAAAATGGTGTTGGAGTAAATTGGGTGTATGTTGCCGGCCCACTGAATGTTTTCACGTCAACTGATTGTGAATGTAGTCCGAAATATGCCGACATCGAGATTTGACCATTGTGGCAAATTTTCACCACTTAGCAAATGGGTTGTATAAATTGCCTGCAAAACTACAAAATGTGGATAATCGAGCATGTCATACATTCGCAAAAGATGCGGGCAAACGTCTCATTAATTTTATTGATTCGTATCTATGTAATTCAATTGTTTGTTTTGGTTTGAATTTTGTGGTGAATCAACAACCTCTCAACGACATTCGGTTGCTCAGCAGGAGATTATGAAGTTTTGTTGTTCGGTCGATTCATATCGACATTGATTTATTCACATTGAAACATTTGAATATTTCTAATCAGATCAATTCTACGAGTCGACGCCTCGATGAACAATTCACGCCATATCTGTGTGCGCCGACATAAAACTATTCGAAAGCAATAGAAAAGCGAAAACACTAAAAATTCCTTTGGCATTATCTTTTATGAGACGCGCCGATTGCGGTTTATATATTTCAGATCTCTGATGAAATCATACCATTAAATGGAATGTAATTCCAAATGCGATCGCATAATAATTAAGTGGAACAGACAGTAGAGTATTTGGGTTGGACACACAAAAAAACCACCGCTGATATAGTCTGAAGTGAAGATGGTAGCACGATATAAGTCTGCGTGCGTTTATGGTATTATCCCGTCAAAATTGGATATAAGATTTGCATTTTCATTTTGCCTATGAGTGATACGCGAGTTTATGTCACAATCATGTTTTCCCTTTTTTGCCGTATGTCATGCTGTTACATTTTTTCGCTGAATCGATTTAGTAAATGCGTTACATTTTTCTTATTTGTCGTGAATGCTTTCATTACAGCTGCGATAAATGATGGGAATTTTCATTTAAGCACCAATTCATAAAGAGAGCAATGAATACGAAATGAAAGTAAACAAGTCAGAGGGAGAGAGAGCGAGAGAGAATCTTAAATGGCTATGCAAAAAGATGAAGCAATCATAATCCATGAACTTGACAGACAAATAAAACTGACAAAAACAATCGTAAAATCAATCATTTTTATTCAATGTGCACATTGCAACACAATGCTCTTTTTTTTCTATTTAATGTGAAAAATTCCAGAACGTGAGCGTTAGTAATACGCGTGCATTTCAGTAAGCGTCAACACAAAAAAAATAAACGTTTTATTGACTAAACGAAAATTCAAATTACTTGCACAATAATCATTTTTGGAAAAATCCCATTTGCAACACATGGGCGACGGTGCTAAGCTTTTGGTAAACATACACGCATTTATTGATGGATGCAAAGCATATGTGGCACGATTCCAATTCAAATCACGATTATGTGCTTTTTAAGGACTCTAAAAATTATCTACGCTTCGTGCTGTATCCGAGCTATAGAAGATAAAACACCGATGTTTGCTTAGACAATAATCGTTTCCGAAAAGCACTCTTTTAACTCGAACTTACCTGAGCCAGCTACAACCATAAGATTTTACTATCGTCAAAAATCAACTATATACCAAACATGTTTTCCAACACATTCCGACAACCGGTTGCCAGCTCTACGACTGAACTATGCGCTCTTCTTTGGTTTCCTTAATTTCAACAATGCTCTGTGAATTTTTCCCACATTCACAGAAATTTAAACAATTTTCTCCTTACTGTCTGTGCTTTGTTTGATGTGGGTTTGTATATTTTTGACTTCCATTCTT